AGGGGGAGGGGGTTGGTATAGGTAAGCTCTCGAAGTACGGGATATAGCGGGCCAAAAGCTATGGCATAGCTTGGGTTGGGTGTCTGCATATTTTATGCGATTTTAATGTGTTCCCGACTGATTCTCCACTTGGTTCGGGTACAGACGACGTTCGGATAGTCGACGCAGCCCAGATATTTCAAGCCCTCAGCCTCTCCTATCATTCCCCCTACCTCCTATCCCCTTTTACCAACCCAACCACCACCCACTTCATTCCTCTCTGGTTCACCTCTCACCAGGGGCTGAGTGACTGACTTGGCTGTGATGCTGTAATCGGCTTATGGAACAGACCAAGCTTCTGCATATGCCAGGCACCACCTCTCAGCATTCAGTTCAGTTTGTGGCTTTTCAATGTTGAATCGTTGGTTGCAATGGTCAGGGTATAGGTGTTGTAGGAAAAAATTTAATATTCTAATATGAAGAGCTATTTTATATTTAGCAATTGGTACTTCATTTTTATCTCAATTATTTTCATCTGCGATTGGGGTAGTGGAAATTAATTTATTCATTTTTCATTTTTTTATTCATCCGTTTTCTTATAATGTTGAATAAAATTTTTTAATTGCCGGTTTCAAAATTACGAGTAAAAAAATATATTAATACGCGTGTTACTCATGAATTATTTATATTAATTCAGAGTTTTTCATGGGAAAATATTTTATATTATATTTTTATTAGTCATCGGTTTTTTTTTTTTTTTTATTGGATCGTCAAGGAAGAAAATTCGGTTTAATCAGGGATAAATTTAATAGTAAATTATTCTCAAAGTGGTGAAATACTTTCGGGAAATAGCGCTCATCGAAATGATCAATTAAACATTCGAATGCCATCACCCGGTGTGCGCTGGCTGTTTGTCGATCGAATCCAGGGAAATATGAACCCCCGCCCTAGGCCAGGATGTGCATTATTGTATTGAGTTACATTAAACACACGTATGGCTACATTATGTCTCTACTCCGTATTATATTTATTCATGAAGAGACGATACGTCATCATTTCCGGGAATTGAATTATACAATGTACAAATATCTCGGTTAATTAAAACCAATAAGAATATTTAAATTCGTTAGGGATGAAAATTGTCGAGTCACTGCTTACTCAGTCTTTTTAATTTCCGATTGGATTATTTTTTCAATTCATTTTCAAAATATATTTTCTCCCCCTCCCAAAAAAAAAATGCAAACCAATACAATTTCTCTTAGAAAATACCTTTTACTGAAAATATCGCGTCAAATTCCATTTACATAAAACAAAATCTATATACAGAAAATAAATCGTAAAATGTTTCAATTCAGAATAATTTCTTGGCTGACGATCGTTCGACCTCGATCTTGAGTTTTTTGGTGTTCCTCGGAGTGACTCCAGCCGAGGGTTTTCTCTTTCTGATGGGCTTCCCTTTTTCTTCGTCTTCCTCGTCGCTCTCACCAGCGACTGAAGGACTCAGAGTGGAGAATACAAAATTCGATGCCTTGTGAGATGTCAGTGTGGTCTCATCACTCTTGCTGGTCATTTCTGCAATTTTAGCTAGAACTGCCTCTCCCCTGGAGAGGAAAGATCCTCTCTTGGAGGCGGTGTGTACGATTCTCGATGTTCTGGAGGTGCATTGCATCAATTCTGAGACAGATCTGGGTGCAATTGTTCTTTTGATCAAGACACTGGATTCCTCCAGGATACTCGTGTTGGTTCTCCTCAATGCCTTCATACCCAGTGACAAAAGCTGTCCCTCACCCTCTGCCTCCATATCTCCCTTTTCTTTATCTTTATCCTGGAGGAATTTTTGCCTCTCCATTCTCAATTTTCTCCACTCGAGTTCACTCTCCCCGTCGTTATTCTCCTCCTCGTCGTCGTCGTCGTCGACAGGACCATCCGCCAGTCCAATTTTATCGATATTCTTCCACCTGAATTTTCTCTCACGACCCTGTCCATCGTCATGGAGATCACCATCATCAAATAGCATTTCCTTCAGCATCCTGACGTCTCGGTTGTCCTCGTCTAGCTGTTGTCTCGCATGAATTTTTCCGATCTGATCTCTCACGAGTGCTTCATCGATCTCTTCACCGTCAGCCTCTTCGTTCTCGTATTTATCTAGATCTCTCTCGTCCTCATCTTCAGAGCCCCACTCACTCTCACTCAGCTCTGCCTCTTCCTCCAGGTATTTGGCGGCGACTTTCTTCAGATCTCCCTTTGGGACGATCACCTCATTCTCCTCGGAGTCGTAGTCCACGAATTTCTCATCCTCAGATTCCTCTGATTCTGAGAAATCCTCATTCTCGTCTTCGTCGTCGGATAGGACAAGCTTTTGCACTTTCTTCTTCGTCCTCGAGACAGTTTTTGTATTTTTATCGTTGGGATCTTTGTTCTCCTCGTCTTCTGAGGATGAGGCTATATCCAAGGACTTTCTGGGAATGTCCTCCTGGGATTTGGTGGATTCTTCTAATGTCAGTCTGATATTATCCTCAGGCACCTGGGGATCGGGCTCTGGGACCTGTGACTGCGTACCAAATGTCCCAGAGCACAGACCCAATAATTGACTCTCTGTTACTCCCTCCGACAACGTCGTGTCTGCAAGACCTTTCAAATTGGGTCTCGTACTGCTCTGGGTATTGGCATCATCTGGAAACTTCCCGGAACATAAATCGAAGAGGTCTAGGTCAGTCACGGGACTGGGATCGTCCTCGAATAATTTATTTTTCGCTGAGTCTCCGAGTGAGGGCTTTGGACTGTTCATTGTGATGGATGGGGATAAGTCCGATATTTCTGGATTTGAGAAAATACTTTTCGATGCTGAGGCACTCCCTGAAGCTAGTCCACTGAATTCCGACAATGGAGATCCCAGGGACAGCTGTTTATTCGTTGGTACAGGGCTCTGACAGCTCTGACTGGGTTGAATCGAATAAATTTCTTCCTCTTCCTCAGCGAAAATATCAACGTCCGTATTTGTTCTTTCAAAAGCTTTGTTTGAAGACTTGGAGTCAAGTTCTTCGTCATCAGAATCCGCAACCTGAATTATTCTGCTGAATTTTTTGGATTTGTTCAGGTCGTTCTCGTCTTTTTCCTCGTCTTCATCTTCTCCATCCTCACCATCCTCTTCATCCTCTTCATCCTCTTCATCCTCTTCATCTTCTTCATCTTCCTCATCTTCCTCTCCACCAGTGCCCTCAATATCCCCATCATCTCCACTGACTTCAGCCTCATCATCCCCAAAGACACAGCTCTTTCTCTTTTTATCTTCAAGCACGACGTCATCCTCTTCAGGTTCACTCTCCCCCTCGTCATCATCATCCAGTATTTTCCTCTTCTCAATAATTTCCTCCAACTCATCATCATCTTCATCATCATCCTCATCAGAGCCCACAGCTTCCTTCTCCTTCTGCTTCCACTCCTCCTGCCTTTTCACCTTCATCCTCTTCTCGAGCTCCTCCTTCAGTCTCATTAATTTAGCCCCAGGTTTATTCATATCGTCCTCACCCTTGTCCCCGCGTATTTTATACGAAACAGTGTCCCTGGTGATTTTTAAACCCTCCGGTGTCACCTCAGTATTCAGAATCGTCACTTCAGTGTCTTTATCCTCATTTTTAGAAATTGCTGAATGTTTCGTGAGGAATCTGTCGACGAGGCTGTCAACGGCTGCCTTGTCAGGCCTCGATGACTCGGTTAAATCAATCATCATACCTGGATTGCCCCTGAGCTTAGGTTTCGTTCCTGCCGCACTTATCAGGGCAGCTCTTTTCATATTCTGATTAACAGGAGGTGGAATTGAATTATTCGAATTATTTTGTGGTGTGGCAAAGTCATTTTCATTCTCTTTGGAATTGTCCTCGGGTAGGGATAATCCCAGGGCCTGGCCCTCTGGCTGATTCACTTCCCTGTCCTCCAGGGGTACATCAGAACCCTCAGGATTACTCAGAACACAATTTTTAGCATTCAACTTCATGAATTCTTTATTACTGACCATGGGAGTCTCAGAAATAGCACAATCATCAGAAATTCCTTCCCGGTGTGGTTCTCCTGCTCCTCCTCGATCCTCCAGAGACTCAGAAAAATTCTCTGCTGGTTCATTAGGATTTGCAGAATCAATTCCAGAGTCTAGAGTCGATGCTTGGTCTCCAGGTGTGCCTGCACCTTCCTCAAAATTATCCAACAGCTTTCTGGGAATGCTGCTGTCCCTCAGTCCTCGTTTGAACTCCTTCGACGGCAGATTAGCCTCATCCTCTGGTTTATCCAGAGTCTCAGATGATTGTACAGAAGGTCCTGGCGATGCTCCATCCATGAATAATTTTCTGGGTACTCCAAATTCAAGGGATCCATTGTGAATTATCTGCTGTCTGTTGTGAACATCGACCTTCTGCAGCTTCTGCGTGTCTTCTATAGATATCATCTCGGTGGTTGAGGGTGGTGCCTCTTTCTGAGGATATTCTGGCTCATCCTCAGAGTCTGAGGACTTGTAGAACACCTCGGCCTCCTTTTCCTTCTCCTCGAGTACCTGATTAACTATCGATGCGGAAATCTTCAGTTTGTTGGCCATTGTCGTGGCCTTGGGTAGGGCTGAGGAGATTTTCTTTCGATTCAAAAAATCGTCGAGAGTTCTCTCCTTGGGTCTGTGATATGGAAGAGATATCGAGGACTCTCGAATCATCCGCTGGGTTTCACTGCGAATTTTATTCAGTGCCTCGTCTTTCGATGCTCTCTTCGTCAGATTCTTCTGTTTTTTCGGTTTCTCAGATTTTTTTGATTCCTCTCTCAAGGGAGATCTCATTCTCTCATCCGGGGATAAATCATCGACTTGGGGCTCCTCTTCTGACTCTGAATCGATTAAACTCGATATTTTTGTCGTTTTTTCTTTTTGTACTGGCACCACTGGGGGCTCATTGTCCTCATCGTCAGGATCAGAATCGCTTTCGACGGTGACCCTGAATCCATTTTTCATCCTCTTAGGGTTGTTTAAGTCATCGTCATCGGTGTCATCTACTTTCTGAATCTTCTCATTTTTATCAGAATCCTCGGAGTCGCTATCGAAAATCGCTCGTGATCGTTTTCCCTTTCTGAATATTTCAGTCATGACTTCTTCGTCCTCATCTCCGTCAGGCTCTACCCCTGGGGGATCGACTGTCTCACCCTGAGCCTCTGAAAGTACATTTCATCAATTTCAAATAAACTCTGATCCACCTGTTGTCCCTGACAACACCCACTAGCCCTCAAAAAAAAAATAAATAACCATCTTCTCACCTGAATTTGGCCCAGAATTCATTGATTTCTCTTCAGGAATGATTTCCGAGACTTCCTCCATCGTGCAACGATAAAAACAAATTCAAAATCCAATTTCTTGGGTAAAATTGATTAAAAAAATCAGGACGAATTAGCCTCCATGGACACAAATATTCCAATGATCTCCATCAGCTGAGAAGTCCCGCCAAAATTCGAGACAGATGTCACTGCATTTCCAATGACGTGCGCATGCGCTTGCATCGACCGTTGATATTGCAGAATTCTCCCGCATTAATTTGAAAACTATAATTTTAATTACTCATCTATTTTTTTATTCGTAAAATCAAATTCTCCGATCGATCCTCAGGATTAAAATTAAACATTGAGCAATAATCAAGTATTAAACGATAATCGTTTAAATTAATTTGAAAATCAATTTAAAAAAAAGCTCTTGCTCTTCTAATGTGAGGGATTAAAAAAAAAATTTCAAATTGCTCTGATAATTTTTATTGCATAAATTATTCTCGAGGTATGAGAGCAAGTGTTTGATTTATTGAAAATAGATATCGCGGGGATAATTCTGCAAATCAATCGTAATTTATCGTACATTAGCCGGCGAGTTCAGGGTGTAACTGATCTAATAATAACTCATTGCCTTGTATGGCTTGTCCCCAGCTGGTGAGCAATCCTGAGACTATCCCGACGTTGAAGTCTCTATTTTTACTATTTCTTAATTCGTCTCCCCCAAGGGGCGATCAACTTCCTCTTGGTATCGTAAAGTTGAACATGTGGCTAGCACTTGAGCTTTCGAATCGGCATGGGGTAATTTTTTCCTGTGTATGATGCATTTTTTTTTTCTTTTCACCAGCCTCCAGGAGGGAAATGAGAGAGAGAATTTTGGCCGTAAATCAATCGAAATTATTTCTTAATATACAATAAGTTTTATTATAATTATTATTTATAAGGATGCGATAAGAAGAGTGAGATAACGCTTAATTCGGGGTGTCCAGGCGCTTTCTCAGTACTTTTATCTTTCGGTGGTTTTTTGGTTTTTCTTCTTTTTCTTTTTTTCGTACTTATAGTTAGATGAATGCTAATCTTTGAGATTCTTTAGTGTTATGATTGATATCGGGCTTTGGTGTTTCTTCGGGGGCTGCTGGTGGTCAGTGGCCCGTGTCGTTATGAAGAAGAGGACTAAATAATAAATTATTAATGTTAATAACAAATATTCATGTTGTATAAACTACAAAGTACAGTACAGTCTGATAAATGTGTGTTATAAAGGCACTTGAGTAGTTTTTCGTAATCCCCTAGAATTTTCGAGTCCGTTATTGTTGGTGATCGATTTATTTGCCCCTGGTGTGAGGGTTATTAGCATCTGGTCTTCTATCCTGGCTTGTCAATCGAGAGTTGTTGGTATTGTCTTGGCCGGTTGATGATGGATGTCTGAGTGATTGAGATGGTTGTGGACAAGGTGATGGTTTTTTTTTTTTCATTTGTGAAGCTTGTGGCTTAGGGTTTAGAAGCACTTGCGGTGGACAATTCCGGGGCCGGACTCGTCGTACTCCTGCTTGGAGATCCACATCTGTTGGAAGGTGGAGAGGGAGGCGAGGATTGAGCCACCGATCCAGACGGAGTATTT